GAGTGGATATTGTTTCCTCTTTTTCCTCTTATTAGAGCTTCATTGAATTGTGAATTACATTGATAACAACTCTATGACAAAATGTTTTTTCTTAGCTAGCTGTTGTTTTAGCACAATGTTAATCCCAAATATTGAATGTATTCATTCAGTTGCAGTAGACCCAGTATAGAGATGATTTTCGTTACTGTTGAGCTGTGATGCTAATGGTTTTGAGAAGTCATGCCAGGATAATTAGAGTACCCTAGGTGTTCTGCAGTTATTTTGATCAGGTTTTGAAGTTAGATAACTGCAGTGTAGCTACAATTGGAAGAATTTGCTTATTGAAATGTATTTTCTTGTTTTCTTTTGTTTGTTTGTTTTTATAGATATACAGCAGCTACAACTACATTTGCTATCATGCTTAGATCTAAACTGCTTTCTGTAAAAACTGTAGGAGGAAAATTCACAATTCTGATGACACTTTGTAATATATTGATTTTTGATTATTTTCATTCAGTGTGAATAATTCTTAAATTTTATAGCTATAATCAAACTTTCAATTTGAATTCTATTAATACTTAAAACAAAATATAAAAGGGAGTGGGGTGATCTGAGGAAATTCTGGTTTTGATGAAGGGTATAAATTTGAAGTCTCTATTTCAAATAAGTTTATTATTTGTATGAAATGCACATTATCCTAAAGCAGAAGCTTTTTGTCATTGTTGTAACACTGCATAGGTGGTCTGAATTTTTTTGTATTTGTTCCATTTGAGAGTTCGGTAGCACATTTTGTCATTTCTGTTTATTGTTTATTATTTGTTTTCTTTTTCATAAGCTTTACCAAATATTTCACAGGTCTCTTCAACAGAAGAATACAACAAGGGTGAATGTATTTAATTTGGTTCTGTATTTTCTTCAGGCAATAGAAAAGTCTTTAGTATAACAGGTGTTTATTTTAATTGCAATTCTGATTTCCGCAATGATGATATAAATAGTTGTATTTAGGAAATCATGATCTACAACACATATGGAATTTAATTTCTGTGGAAGCATCTTGCTTTCTCTCTTTTCTCTCCCCAGCTTCCTTTTCACAGAGTCATAGATATTGAAAGGGGCCTTTGGAGGTCATCTAGCCAATCCCTCCTGCTAAAGCAGGTTCCTCAGAGTAGGCTGCACAGTGAAAATGGTCCAGACAGGTTTTGAATGTCTCCAGAGGAGACTCCACAACTTCTCCGGGCAACTTGTTCCAAGCTCAAAGTACCTCAAAGTATAGAATTTTTTTATCATGTTCATATGAAACTTCCTGTGCTCCATTTTGTGCTCTTTGTCCTGTTGCTAGGTGTCACTGAAGAGAGCTCCATCTACTTGACACCCTCTCTTCAGGTATTTATACGAGTTGTAGAGTCTTCTCCGGGCTGAACACTCCCAGTCTCTCAGTCTTTCTTCATGAGGGAGATGCTCCAGGCCCCTATTCATCTGTGTAGGCCTCTGTTGGACTCTCTCCAGTAATTCCCTATTTGTCTTGAACTGAGAAGCCCAGAACTGAGCACAGTATTCCTGGCTTCACCAGGGCAGAGTAGACGGGGAGAAGAACCTCCTTTGACCTGTTGGCCATGTTCTTTTTAATGCACTCTAGGATATCGTTGGCATTTTTGGCCACGAGGTCACACTGCTGGCTCGTGGTCAACCAGTTGTCCATGAGAACCCCCAGGTCCTTCTCCCAGGAGCTTTTTTCCTGGATATCAGCCAGTACTGATGCATTCTTCTTCTGCATTTCCTTCCCATCCAACTAAACTGACTAGAAATTGTGACATTTTAAATGTCAACTTCCATCAACATTTTTAAGGTAAATTTGTGTAATTCTATTTCTGGCCCAGGGAAGATTATTAAAGTTACTGCCTGTTTAGTACCATCTAATATGCAGGCAATTTGCATACTGTTGAAGCCCTAGAGATGTCCCCTGAGCTCATAACATTACTTCTCATCTCTCACTTTCTCCTCATCTCCGGTGTCTCTCATTATCAGAGCTAATAGGACAAGTGCAGCAGTTTGAAGAAGCTGAAGAGTAATGAAACACTGCATTTTGCTTTTGTGTCACTCACTGAAATCAGGCCTGAGCTGAAACATAAAGTCTGAAGGTGTGCCAGCACACAGCTGTCAGGTTGTTTTGGCCCAGTTACACCCGCAGTGCCTCAGCTGGTGGGTTGGCCAGTGTTTTCATTAGTGAGGCCAAAACCACAGAGACCTGGCTGATCTTTGACCCCAGATGGGGAATATGTGCTGGGGAATATCAGCAATACGCAGCAGTCAGATGCTACAGCTCGACATTCTTTTCCTGTTTGTTCACTCAGGTTTATAATGCTAAGACAGAGGTCCTTTCCTCACCCACCAGAAACAAAGCTTTGCAAATCGTAATGCAGGCCATGGTAGAGTGCAGTTACTTCACAGCAGCTGTAGGAAGGACTTTCCCTGCTTTCTTCTCTAGCCTTGTTGTTAGGTGCTCGTCTCTCCGGCTGTTTTCCCTCTTCTTCACATCCTGAGTAGGCTGTGGAGCCATCACAATGGGGAGGGCCTACAGAGCACAAACCAGCTTCTAATTCTTTGCTGATATACGTGGTGTCTCTGCGTCTCAGCAGAGCACTTGTGGCACTTGTGTTTGTTCAGAGGTAAAAAAGCACTTCTAATTTTCTTAATAGGAAGTAAGCTATCACCTTGTAATGGCTTGATGGAAACTGTGTATGTGGGTTACGTATTAGTAGTAAAGCTCATCTTAATTAAATGTGAATAATACGTGCTATCGTATTCAGGCCCAAAGACATTTTTATGTGACAGTTCCTTTTAGCTACTAAGAAAAACATGATGTGATTGCTTCAAGGCATTGCCATCAGCTATCTGCTACTCCTGAATCTCACTAGACCAGGGCTGGTTTAAATAATGTTGACAGCTTACCTTATGCTACAAGGACAAGTGGTTGTCCAAAAGTTAGGCAGTATTTGTTGCAATCAGAGATTGATTCTTACTAGGAACTGGTGGGTAATAATCACATCTGAGTATCTCAGAATTTTGGAATGAATAGCAAGGTATGAATCAGAAAAAAATGCTGGTTCTCTTGTCTGTGAATTGCTGTCTTTGGTGAAGGCTTGGTCATTAGAGGGTTGGTCCAGAGCTGTGGACCTTTATTGCATCTATCCCAGATGACAATCATCATAAAGACTTAGATACTCACCAGTCCTGCTCTAAAGTGAAATTATTCAAATTTGAAGGCATTTAGAGTTTGGGGTGGGGTTGGTAAAAATGTTTATTGAATTTGAATGCCTTTGTTCTTGGTGCAGGAGTATGCTTCGTCACTATGGCTTCACTGTTTGGCACGTAGATTTCAGCTGTAAATTACATTACAACAGTCTTTTGTAAGATGCTTATTTTGTGCATTTCATTAGGAGCAAATATATACCTGACTCCAGACAGAGATAAGAACTAAAAGATATGTCCTACTTTCTAGTCTAAAATATCATCTGAAATTTTGCTTGGTGTAGAATTGGAACACTGAAGTGACAAGTAATGGAATGTATGTGTTTTTCTCAAGAATGAAAAAAAATAGAAACCTTAAAGATAATGCAGAATCTTTTTGCAGAAGCTAAGGTGAAAGAGCTGAAATGACTGCTGTCTCTTTGTACTTGGAATCATTGGCAGATTATACCTTCAAGTTTCCTGCTTTAATATACTCTTCTGTTATATTTTAGCAGAAAATAGTTGGAAAATAAGATTATTTTTGTCCTCTACTAAACCAGTTCTCTTACTGACTTCGTGGCAGAAAAGAGGTAGATAATGTGTAGCTGTTCTCTCAGTAAGTATACAGATAATGACCTTCTTCCCTGCAAGAAGAAAACTGGGCAGATGGTGATCATAGTATGCTCTATACTTGAAGAAGTATTAGAGCTATGTGTCAGTCCCATAGGGTTTTAGTCCATGAGATAGATGTCTGGATCCATTCAGTGGGAACTTGTGTATGTGTGAATGCCTGTGCGCCCTCACTGTTAAGAAGAAGGATGTTGGAGGAGGCATTTGTCTAAGTGCTACTTGCGTGACCCTGCTTTGAGTATGATGTTGGTCCAGATGTTCTCTGGTGTCCTTTCTATCTTCAGTTTTTCTATGATTCTTAATAATAATTTTTTAAAAACTACCGTGTGAGAATTGAGCTTCTTAATTCCCGTTCTGAGGAACTTGGGTGTAGATAATTAGTTACTGCATCACAAGAGCCTGGAAAACCGTCTTCAGCAACGTTTATGCTACATTTTTGTGATGGCTTGTGAGCATGTGTGTGTATATCTTATGTAAAATATATAGATACACTCTTTAATTTTGTTTATGAACTTAGAGACAGGCAGTGACCCACTTTTCCTCAAAAATGATACCATTACTGTGGCAAAGGATCAGTAGAACTCAGTTTAAGAGCACTACTTGTAATAAAAACAATAGCTTAATTATCATAATAATGAATCATGAAAAGTTACATTCAGGATTTCTTCATAGTGAAACTATTTGTCAAGAGAATTAATGGAAAAAATATGGAAGAGATTAATGGACTGCTAATTGACTAAACACTGTCTCAGTTCAAAATTTGCCAAGCCTGGCAGTGATAGACGTGCTGTATCAACAAATTGCAGTCAGATTTGTCCAAAAGCAGCTAGCATTCTGTTCAGTTGCGTATGGCAATTTATAGCCCTGCAGGTATAAGGAGTTAAAAGAGTGCTAGGAAATAGCCACTGACAACCTAGGCAGGGCTTTCAATTAATGTTCTCTTTGACTTAGTATGAGAGGGCAGCTAGAAAATAGAACTATTGCATTATTTCCCCACATCATTCCTTAAGTTGGGTATGCTATATTTGTATCTGCAAAAGAAGAGAAAAAGTTTTGATAAATCATATTTACAGTGTAATCTTCTCTTTATAAAGGCTACGTTTGAGCGAAGCTATAGTATGAACTGTATTTAAGCATTCATTTTCTTCCTCGTACTCTATTAGGCAAGCAGTGGTTAAAGGCTCCCTTCCACATCCTTTTGCTTTGACGCTGTTTGGGGACACATTGTACTGGACAGACTGGAACACGCATTCCATCTTGGCCTGCAGCAAGTACTCTGGGGAGGACCTGCGTGAAATACATTCCAACATCTTCTCACCCATGGATATCCATGCTTTCAGCCAGAAGAGGCAGCCAAATGGTAAGCTGTCTTGCTTTATACTTTAAATGCAAGTTGAAACTGATTTGCAAACATCTTAACTACTCCTTCTGTATGGTAGCAAGTGGCTTTACTTGCATCGTAATGCAATTTCTCCAATGCAGACACTGGGGGGAAAAAAACAGAGAAACCAGATATTCTCTACATTGTTTTATTTTTTTTTAATGTGAAAAATAATCTCTTGCTTTTACTCTGACAGGTACACTTGTACTGTTGTCATATTCCTTTTTCTCTTTAATGTGCCATAACTTTATGTAGCATGGTATTCTTATTTTTTTCCAAGTAGTAGTTCCTAAATGAAAAGCAGTGTTAATTTTGCAACTCTGTGTAATAACCACTGTCTTATCCATTGTGTTAATTTACTGTGTTTGCATTTTTTTTTAATATATATGAAACTTACTATACATTCAGCATCACCACGTTGAATAGTTTGTGAAAATGAGAAGAGGAGAGATGAAACAAGGCTCTTGTTTAGAGCTAAATGCTACCTCCTCAAGAAAGGAAATATTCAACATCCGTGCACTTTTGTACCATAAATACTCCACTACTCAACACTTGGAATTAATTTTTATTTGTTCTGTGTATATCATTTCCTTCTTTAATCTGTGTTGCTGCCACCGATTCCACCACTCAAACACCGTATGTCTCTTGACACATGAGATGAGGTCTTTCATTATCAGAAGCATTAATCTGTGTGATTTATGTTTAACAGCTACAAACCCATGTGGAATTAATAATGGTGGCTGCTCCCACTTATGTCTGATGTCTCCTACCAAGCCCTCTTATCAGTGTGCATGTCCCACTGGTGTGAAACTTCTTGAGAATGGAAAGACCTGCAAAGATGGTAGGCTTTATTTTTAAAAATCCTTTTAGGTTAAGCACAAAATAATTTGTTGAAGGGAAAAGGGGTTCTTGTAGCTTCACTACGTAATGCACGTTAAGGGTGGCAAACTGTGGGAAAATCTATGCTTTTGCAGTACAAATAAAAGTGAATGGAAAAATGCCCTCTACTTTTCAAAGAGGAAATAGTCTCATTGCTGAAGAACAGTTTATCTTCAGTCACGAAATTTAGTTGATAATTCTGTCTCTGTCACTAATTCCCTGAAAGTTTTTTGCATGTTCTATTGTTCCCTTTTCTTATAGAAAATACAAACCTTCTCTGTTGTCTTTAAACTGTTTCTAATGTTATTTTTCATGCATTAATATTTGTCTAATTGGACTGTACAAGTAAAACATTTGCTTTTTGAGATCTGATTTCCATTTATACACAGATGCATCTGGTATTTCTATTCCCATGCATAAGGTTAGACACACACATCTGTCTATAGGAACTCAATAGAAAAGTGTGGTTTTAGAGATACTAGAAGTATTTCAACTTTAAAACCCAAGACATAGAATCATATAATAGAATTGTAAAATGCCCTGGGTTGAAAAGGACCATGTGACCATCTAGTTTCAACCCCCTGCTGTGTGCAGGGTCACCAACCACCAGACCAGGCTGCCCAGAGCCACATCCAGCCTGGCCTTGAATGCCTCCAGGGATGGGGCATCCACAGCCTCCTTGGGCAACCTGTTCCAGTGCATCACCACCCTCTGAGTGGCACCCTCCTAATATCTAACCTAAACCTCCTCACCCAAAGCTGCTTATAGTGTTTCACTGTGATCTGATATATGATTTCAAGTAATTTTATTTTATACGGATGGCTTTTGTGCCATTGTGCTGTGACTGCTGTAATACATTAATATTATCAAAACAAACACTTGGAGATTAATTAGCTCTCATAAATAACCATCTGTATGCAGGTTGTCTTTATGAAAAATGTACAGCAGAACAGAAAGATACAGTAGAATTCACTGTAAAAGCACTAAAAAAATGTATACAGAAATAATTCATTAAACTTTCATTTTATATTTTAAAAATTCTTAATCTTGTTCTCTACTTGAATGCTTGTTCTGTGTTTTCTCTAATTTCATGCTATTTCATGCTCTCTGTTGATTATTTTTGTGTGGCTATTTGTGACTGTGTGAACCTTATTAAAATAAATTGCTGCTTTTATGTGAAAAATTCAAAAGCATCTCCCAATTTAGCCTTGTAAGATTATTTTAAGAATAACCACTACATGCACAAGATGTTTTTCTCCCATTTCTACCAGTATAAGGAGCAAGCTTTAATAATAAAGCTCTGGATTGGTTAAATTTAGTCAATGCAATTTAATGTACTTAAAAAATAAACAACAGAAACAACAAAAACTTGATATGCGTAAGCTCTTGATATGGACAAGCTATTTTGAGGAAGCAGATAGCTAAAGCAGTTGTTCACCAGTACATATATCCAAGAGCAGAACTGTGTGAAAATTCCACGTGGGGGATGGGGAATTGTGAAGGTTTGGTCACCTAACACCTAGCAGTGTTGAAGGACTAAGGACAATTGTAGTAACAAGTCCTGGAGAGAGAAATGTTTTCCTTTTTACCCCCTGGTAGGAAATGGGGATTTTTGGGAAGCTTTTTGGGACAAAAGGTTTTTTGAAGGATGACTTTTGAGGAAAAAAAAACAGCCCTACAAAATGCTTTGAATGTCTCATGTAGGAATACTCATAGAATCATAGAATGGGTTGGGTTGGAAGGGACCTCAAGGATCATCAAGCTCCAACTCCCCTGCCACAGGCAGGGCCATCAACCTCCATGTCTAATTCTAGACCAGGCTGCCCAGGGCCCCAGCCAGCCTGGCTTTGAATATCATCAGCTTACTTTCTCAGCTATTGCTTATGTCTCAGAACATAAGGCTATTGGCTTTTTCTCCTACTCCCTGAAAATATGATAAGCCAAATTATTTGTTCTAATTCAGCCATAAAGTATATTTGCAAAACACAGCTCCTATTTCACCAGAAATTTTGTTAAGCAGATTGCTGAGACACTGAGGTATTACAGCTTGCTGTCTGTCGCTATACAAAGCATCATAAAAGAGCAATTATCATATGCTTATCAATGTGATGTTGTATCTTTAACAACCATTCTGCTGTTGCATATTTTTTTCAAAAAAAACAAAAATTGCTCACTGTTCATTTTTAAGAAGGAAAAATGTGTGGGGGAGTGAAAATTGAGCCTGCACTTACTTGGCTCAGTGAGCGCTCCATTCCATTGCTTACTAGAGTTAGAGCTGAATTAGCCTGTGTGCAAGAGAAACAACCTGCTACAGCTATGTATCAGATCCATTGGTTTCACTTAACTGACAATTTTGCACAGATCCAACTTCTACGAAGAGTATAAGGGCTAAGGGAGTCCTGGAGGCTTGCTGCTTGTTGTGTTTCAGCATTTAGAGCTATGTGTGCCCAAAAATAATTAAAAATTTTTTGATAATTGTCTCACTCTCAAGAGAGTATGCTTTTTTCTCATTGAAGAAAGGTGTAGGTAGCAGACCTAGGGCTTTTGTGTGTGACCTGTAACTTGCCAGAGCTCTTCAAGTCAGGGCTTCACTGTGATTTCTGCTCACAATTGCAAAGGCTGCAGTGACTGATTTGGGGAAAGGAAGAGGGAATGGTGGGCAAGCAGAGCTAGCCTAGCTAGCCACAGTCCACATTTTGCTTGTAAATCTCTAGTGTTTGCATTGACTTCCTTTCTTAGGCTGCTTAATGATACTGGTAAGCAAAGTATATTTTCTCTTTTTTGTGTATACTTTTTAAATTCATGTGACAAGGAGTATGTATTGAGGAGAAACAGCAGTGTGCTTATGCTTTCTTGCTGTTGGTTTTTGTGTTGTTTTTTTTCTCTCTTTGTACTTGCCTGTTTACTAAGGTGCTGTGAAAGTGGAGCTGAACCCTCAGAATGGAATATTTTCACCTCAGTTCCTCAGTTTGTTTCAGTACATATCTACTGTGCTGAAACACTGAATGAGTAATTGCAGCTCATCTTGAAATGAGAACATTAGAACTGTGGAGGAAGAAAGAGGAATGACGGACAGGTTTAAAAAAAAAAAAGTGAAAGTGAGGCTAAGGCAAATTAATTTCTTGAAGACAGTTTTGTTCTCCAAACAGAAAGCAAAAATCAGGATAGTTACTAAACTAAATCGTTTCATGCTGCAAGGAGCCTCTTTGAGAGGCGAGCTCGTTAACAGTGTCAATGAGTACTGGCTGGGATCTGCAGGAATTTGATGACTGAATTTTGAGTGCCTGTTTGTGCTGTTTGCAGTGGTTTGGCTTTGACAGATGATCCTTGCAGCCAAAGGTGAGGCTGGCTGACCCTCCCTGAGCAGTTTCCATGACAACCTTGCATTTTTGAATAATCGTGGTTTATAGGAAATCTTTTCCTCCCTCTTCTTTCCCCTCGGTGTTGGTTTCTTGGCTTTTTGTCTTATATTTTTCCATTACACCCTAGGGTAATTTTACTGTTTTTGTGAGAGTTATGGACGATAAACCCCCTACCCTCTGCTTATAAACACTTTTTCATCGTGTTTCAGAAAAGAGTGATGATCAGGAATAAAATCAGCTATTTTACCAACAACTGATAATACTGATAATAGAAATATATACAGCAATGATAATGGAAAACTCGTAACTGAGATGTGGTCTTGCAGCAGACAGATCTATTTTCTATGTGAGCATTTGAAAATCTCTATCTGTCAAGATGGGAGGAAGAACAGCTAGTTGTCATGGCCACCTCTTCCTCTGTCAGTAATGTCCAGAGAATACAGTCTCTTCTGAGCACACAGTAGGGTACTCTTACCTATGCTGGCATTGTGTTCATAGTCATTTGGCTTGTTCTTCTGTATTCACATTTTTATAGAATAGAACCGTTCAGTTGGAATATTCCTACAAAGACCATCAAGTCTGACTGCCTGGCCACTTTAGGGCTCACTAAAAGTTCAAGCACATTAATGAGTGCATTATGCAAATGCCTCTTAAACACTGACACGTGTGGAACATCAGCCACCTCTCCAGGAAACCTGTTCCTATGTTTGACCAGTCATGATAAAGAATTTTTCCCAGTTTCACCCTCTCCTGACGCAGCTCTGTGCCATTTCTGACCTGCCATCTGTGAGCAGAAGCAGAACCCTGCACCTCCTTCTGCTTTCCCTCCTGTTAGGATATAAATGAGACTTCTCTTCTGCAGTATTACGGGCACTGCTGTTCTTCTCACTTTGGTATCCTACATTTAAATGACCTGTTCAATAGTCATTTTAATTTAAATAAATAAATAGGTTTAGCTTCCAAGTCTGTCATTGGAATTATACTCATATTAGTGCCTGAACACTTCTCCGTCCCTGTGCTACTTTGCCTTTGGTGAATTTTACTACTTTATTCTCTATGCTTGCCCTCACCAGTTCAGATCTATGAAGAATAAAGGTTGAGTGAGGAGATACAAACTTATTTGTGGTCCAAAAAAAAAAAAAAAAGCACTTTGAAGCCTTGCTGTGGCCATCCTGCTCTCTTTCAGGAAGAGAGAGTCTTTATTTTGCCCACTGGTGCTTACATCATGCTTACCTTTTATGCCTAGGAAAGTAAGTAGAAGTTTGCAGAGGGCAGACCTAAAGTGCAAAAATAAATTTTCTTTGTCTGGAACAGTCATGATCCTGATTTCACTGGACAGATGAAGATGTTAATTTAATACCCGAGCTCTTCTTTTTTCCATTAAAAGAGAAAAGAAAAAAAAAATCAGACATAAGTCCTCTTACCTCTGTAGGCTTTTTTGGTGGTGGTGATTTTTGGTTGGTTGTTTTTTAAGACAGCCCATCTACCTGTTTGCACTGTAATATCAGGAGCTCTCTGCCAATGGTATCTTTCCAACTGGGAAAAGGCATTTAGGAAGAAAATTTTTGTTAGTCAAATGCGTGATAACTGTTCTGAGGTTTTATTAATGATTTTAATTTAGCAAGTGCAGAGAAATTACTGTATATGTCCTAGATCTAGCATTACTTATGTAAAAGTTCCTGAGTATGTGTCTGTGTAGTATTACTAGCCTCAACAACCACTGATGGTTTTAAAGTTCAGTAACTTATAAATGACTGAGGACTTATATCCTTGGAAGAGGTAATTAATTATAAAGGTTAGAGGGCATTAGACACTGAACTTAAAAACTACGTCACTGCATATATCTGTACACTTGCTCTGTTTCTCCTTTTGTCCTTCTTTTCCCCCTTAACTTCAGCTATCACAGAGATTTTAATTGTTTTGACTTTTAATAGCGACTTTTTGAAGGAAGTATTAGTTCTAGAACTAATGTAATGCACTATGCATGAACTTGTAATTCCAGCTTTCAAAGTACTTAATAAAAGTAGGCTAAAGCTCTCAAATCTGGAGTCTGAAGTAAGGCTTTTATGTCCATATTTAGATGGCTTAAGTAAGGGGCTTCTTTTTAGAGAAATTGCTAACTGTCCTGAATACCTCCTCACTTGAGGCACTTCAATAAGAGCATTGGTCCCCAGTAGGAATGGGCTGTAAAAGATGTGTGTGGTTAGGTTTTTTTGTTTGTTTGGTTGGTTGGTTGTTATTTTGTTTTTTTGTGTTAAATAATTTCTGGGTTGCTAAGTTCACTTAGGATTGATTGAAAGATCAGTAAAGGGGGTAAGCAAAAGGGTCTGACTTCGAGTATGGTATAGACATATGCAAGAGGCAGAGCGAAGAAGTATGGAGATCCTGCTGTCACATTTCAGCTTTTGCATCATAACTGCACCTTGGAGTAGAGATGAACAAAAGCTGATTGATTCTGTTGTGTCCTTTCAGCTTCAAGTACCTTGAGCAGTCTTCTGACTGGTTCTTATCAGTGCCAAACTTTTTTGCAGCCGGTGTTCTGCACAAGTTCAAATTGTTTTTACAAATAGTTTTAGTTCTAGATTGCCCTTTTTTTTTTTTTGACTGCAGCAGAGATGGTAAGGTGATCATATCGTAAATGTGCTCAGCTCTTGCATTTGCTTTTCTTGCTATTGTCAGGACAAGCCTGAAGGTGTTTGAAGTGCTTTTCACCTAGCCTACCTTGAAATGAGATGTTTCTGTGCTCAGTTTCTCTTTTCTGAATGAAATGAATGGTGATCTGACTAAGCAGCTGAGATGTCAGTTTGCTAATGGCTGGATAATAGCTTTAAAGTAAACTAAACTTTCTATTGCTTGATTGGGATTGCATGAGATAATGTTAGACATCTCCAGGTACAGACCACTTCTAGTTCAGGAATCCCCTGCGCAACATGGGTTGGCTGTAAGGCAGTAATTTCCTAATGCTGAATTAAGGCGTAGATACACTATGACATTGCAGCTAACAAGTGTTGCAACCTGGAAGCAAGATCCTGAAACTGTTGAAATGACTTCTCTTGGAGAACAGTTGGAAGGTCAGCTGGTCAATTTTAAGGGTGTTTTTGCGAAGGCATAATTGTACTAAAGCCAGTCTTTCTGGGGAATTGGCATTGGTTCTTCAAAATGGCTATCAAATTCAACATATAAATTATTTTTAAATTATGTCTTAGGCTTTATACATATATATATATATATATGCATATATGTAATAGACTATGTATATAGTTTCCTAACTGTTTGGAAATCTGAGGTTAGTGTATCAACTTAACCTTAATTCTGTTAGGTAAAGCAATTTATTAATATCAATGTATGTACAGATTTGTTTAAGGGGAAAGTTGAGTAAATGACCATAAAGTTGGTAAGGAAGGGAGTGCTTAAGATTCCTTATTGAACCTTAATAGTTGTGCTTGGTTATATATTAATACCTCATATGACCATAATGCCTGCCAGTGCTTAGAGCTTAATCATTCGTTGTTTGATATAGTTAGTTGCAACAAACACAGATGCACATATAAACTGCTGTGACAAGATTAGTTGCTTTTGTAATAATAAAAATCTTCCTAACATGCCTGTTTTTCATTTACTCTGTCACATGTTTTAAATTATTTTGAAAGATGCTTACGCATGTACTTAAAGGTTCCCTCTTCCTGATATTAGTTATTGTATAAGAGTTATTCACTAGAAGAACAATTGAGTAGTATATACATGTATTTTTGAATGGAATGTGTTTTAGGACATAGGATCCCAAAGCGGATCTTCATCCATTCTAGGTTACTAATCAGGAACACTTGTAATAACAATCTGAACTTCAGCTGTTGAAAAGTACAGTTTCTTGCAGCACTGTAAAAGCATTTTAAATATTTTTAATGTGTTAAAATTGCTCTAAATGAAGCAATGGCTGCTTTGGCATCTGTCTGAAATTTGATATTCAGTGAGGTTTCATCTAGCATCCACCACAATTACTGACATTTTAAAAAAGAAATTTGGCATCAAACACTAAATATATGTATTTTAAGATTAGCTACCTAGTTACTTTAGTAGTTACTCTTTTAGTGTCCTTGTCCTTTTTTATACCTATGTAAGATCAAGGCACAGAAGCATGAACAGCGTGTAGCTTTGTAATCACTTTTTCATTGCAGTGTTTTTATATTTTTCTTAAACCTTCCTCTCCCCCACACTTGCTCTTTTTTTCATCTGCACTTGCACTTAGGTCACACTCTGCCAAACCTTTCCCATCAGTATTTGAGGAGAGCTGTCCCAACATACTTTCCCTGCATTTGGATTGCATGCATTTTTTACCTCAGCTCAGACTTCCCCGAGGCCTAAACTGCTCTTATCTCCTTGAGACTCCAAACAGATAAGCCAGTTTAATTGGAATGGGGCGTGGTGGTTGTTTAGCCTTCATTAGACTGAAATCTAGCAAGATAGAATATAAAATGAAGCAAGAATAAGATAGAATAGACAATAAGTTCTTTATCGGTCAGGCGCCCAGCAGTGTACTTCTAAACAGCTTGTGTTGTCCTGTGGGAAAGCATCTTTTGCAGCACAAGCTGATCTTAGCTATTTATTAGGATTTTGACTTTTGACCTAAAAAAGCCAGAAAGGTTTTTGTATGCTTTCAGTATTATTTATCTTCATACGTTCAGATATGCTTATTCTCAACAGACTCGGGAGAAGCTGAAAATCCACCTGCTTTACATTGTCACTGGACAGTTGTCGATTCATGAACTCGATTCCTCAAATAGGAGTTTCTCAAAGGAGATTTACCTGTGGTAATCTGAGTTAGTTACTTTTCTCCCTCTAAAGTACTGTTGAAACACACAGCTTGTTTGTGACAGTCATCCACTATACCAACAACTACAGTCAGTAGAGGGTTTATTTTTTTTCATCTGAGAGGCTGCAGACCATCTGTTACTTGCAGAAAATCATAGCATGATCACTTCATAGCTATTTCAGTATCTTTGGAGGGAATTGTCTGGATAAAAAACAGGTCCAACATAATAGGTTTTGGACAAGGAAATCACCATTGAATTTCCTCTGTAAATATATCTAGTTTGTTCTGCAGAAGATTAACCTTACATTTGAAGCTTTTGAGTGATATTCTCTGCTGGTGTCCATCAGTTTGGACAGACACTATTGAAATCAGAGCAGCTACACTAGCTTGCAGCAAACGGTGGAAGATCAAGTTTACCACTGCTGTAAAGTGTTTGTAAGATGGTTGTGTTTTTGCCTTACACATGTAGGTGCCACTGAATTGCTGCTTCTAGCCCGCCGGACAGACTTGAGGCGCATTTCCTTAGACACTCCAGATTTTACAGACATCGTTTTGCCACTGGAGGACATCCGTCATGCCATCGCCATTGACTTTGATCCTCTGGAAGGGTACATCTATTGGACTGATGATGAAGTTAGGGCCATCCGTCGCTCATTTGTTGATGGGTCAGGTAGTCAGTTTGTTGTCACAGCACAGATTGCTCATCCTGATGGCATTGCTGTGGACTGGGTTGCCCGAAATCTGTATTGGACTGACACTGGCACAGACCGTATAGAAGTTACAAGGCTTAATGGGACCATGAGAAAAATCTTGATCTCGGAAGACCTGGAAGAACCTAGAGCTATTGTGCTGGATCCTATGGTAGGGTAAGGAGCTGTTCATGAGCACTTTCTAAGTATTAGACAAAGAAGTTAGTTCTGTTTACATGCATGCAAATAATGGGATGCAGTGATAAACTCCTAGGTCTTCAAAATGAAAATACCGTCCTCCTTCGAAAGCTAATGCTCTGAGGCTTGGGGACCGCTGCTCCCTTTTGACTATTCAAATTCTGTGCTTTTACATTTTGTTTTTCTCTTTAAAATCCATTTGTTTGTTCTAGCTGATACAACTTGTTATGTGGTCTTGCTCAGCAGATTGGTTATAGGACTAAAGTAGGTAAAGTACCAGTCTGCTTACATGTCACTGTTACTGTTCTGGATGTGTTGGGCATTGTTTTTTAGGTAAGAATATATATTTGGCTTTGAAATGTATTTCTCTGAGTGCTTTGTGTCTTCATGATATTGTAGTGCAAAAGCAGCCATGTAAATATTGAAAATTTGGTTCAATAAGACTCCTAAAGATTTTGTTTCCATTGCAGGTACATGTATTGGACAGACTGGGGAGAAATTCCGAAGATTGAGAGAGCGGCACTAGATGGCTCAGACAGGATTGTGCTGGTGAATACCTCACTTGGGTGGCCAAATGGACTGGCTCTGGATTATGAAGAAAGCAAAATATACTGGGGAGATGCAAAAACTGACAAAATAGAGGTCTGTAATTGCACCTGTATTTTTAATTCCTTGGGGTTATAGAACATATTCTATTTTTCTAAGTTTTTAAGTTCTGATACAGTTCAAAAATGCAATTAGGATAATGGTCGATTTCTGCTTTAAGAAACAATTCAGCTTTTTTTCTCTGATTTTGATCAAGTTGCTCACTGGTCTTTCTGAGATTTTCCTTCCAAAAAAAGTGATCTACTACACAGATACACTATTTTCAAGAAATAGTATCTGTGTAGTAGATCACTTTTTTTTTTTTTAATATATGATAAGGATTTGTTGAATTTGCTTCTTAGATCATTCATAACACTTTCTTGGGAGTAATGTTTGTAGGTTAAACTAATGCTTCTATTGTTCTTTGTGCTGCTTAGCTTAGGTGCAAGTAGATAAATGCATTTTAGAGAATTAAATTTTATAGAAATAAATTTCAGATAAATCAATCTCATTTTACATATAATTATCTGTACTCCCAAGCATCATCTGTACTCTGTATCTCCTTAGTTTTATTAGGGTTCCAGCAAGAGGATACATTTTGCTTTCTTTCTGGCATGCTGTATTTGTTCAGTTTATTATCAAAAGGCAGAATGCTTTTTGGATCCAGGAGATTTGGCTACTACCTGGAGCACAGTAACTGTACCTAGTTTTCCTGTATTCTGATAGGCTTACCTTCCTTTTATTGAGTTACAAACTTCCTTAGTGAATCTTTAATACCATAAGTATATTTTAGCACTTACCACATTAGTCATCTGAAAGTCATGATCTTGTGCTAGAAGATTGTGTTACTGCTCTCTTTATAGTCAAAGTAACTGCAAGCCTGCAAGGTGACTTGCTTCGAAGCACTCCTTGACAGAGCCTCGGGGAGCATGGTTTTCTTTGTCCCAAAAATAAGGCCTGTGGTCTGTAATTTACTTCAGCAGATCCGGGGAAAGAAGGTAAAGGATCTCTCTGCTTAGAGATTTATATATCGCTTTTATTTAGCACTTCCACCCTAATTCTGCCTTGATTTTTTTTATTATTATTATTTTTTATTTGCAAAAGGAAGGTTAGATGTTCTCCCAACTCATGCTTACCAAAACAGAGATTTTTTTACACACATTTCAGGCTTACTCAGACCAGGGTTCTGTATTCATTGCTAATGATTCTGTTTAGTGCTTGTCAGTTTGTGGTAGACGTTTTCAATAGGTTAGGCGCCAGTTTACTGCTACAGTTCCATCAAACTGGCTACAATGTATGATATATTGTTAATGCCAACATTACAATGTCTGTGGCAGGACAGAGGATAATGATTTGGCACAAACAACTTGCCAGGACAATTTACATTTCATTGGTTTTAAGCTAATATAAGCTGATAAAAGAATTTGACTCAGGTTTTCATGTAGCACTTATGCAGGATATCTAGAAAATAATTATGATCTTATTAGTTATTTTTTCCCATGAGATTTCAAGTGTTAGACTTTTCCTGCTTCTGCTTTTTGTAAAACATCAGCGTTCGTTCGTTAACTGCTGAGGTTTTCCCTACTAGATAGCTGTGCACCACACACCATTCATTCAGTCACTGTCCACACCCTTCAGTGTGCTGAGGAGAGGCTAAAAGAACTGGTGGGTTGTGATAAAGACAGTTTAGTGAGAGAGGGGGAAAAAAAAAAAGTAAATCACAAACATGAAATGAAAACAAACAAACAAACAAAAAAAATTGTACAATCCTATTTCTCACCAGCGGCTGACTGGTTCCCATTTAAGCCCTGAGCAATGGCAGGCCTTCCACTGCCCAATTCCTGCCTCCCTCCCTCCCTCCCTCTTCCATCTTTATAATTTCAAGATAATGCCATATGGAATGGAATATTACTTTAACCACTTTGAGTCAGCAGTCTTGCTTCTGTTCCCTCCCAGCTTCTTGTGCATCTCCAACATTCTCCCTCTCGCAGGGCAGTGTGAGAAGCTGAAACATCTTTGGCTGTGTGTAAACTCTGCACATTAACAACTTAAATATATTTTCATCATAAATCATAAAAACACAGCACAGTACCTGATATAGTGAAAAAAATTGTCCCAGCCAAAAGCATGGCATTAGCCAGGACTCTTATTAATGTTCAGAAAATTTTTTAAAAAGCCTGAGTAAAATCTTTAAAGCAAGAGAAGAAATTCTCCCACAGTTTTGCTTTGGAGTTTTTGGATTTTTGTTTCATTTGGTTTGCTTTTTTTTTTTTTTTTTTTTAGTTGTGTTGTTGTGTGTTTGTTTGTTTGTTTGTTTTTAATAATTTATTATATTTTTATTGCAAAAGTTGTCAGTTTAGGGGGTGTGACAGATGTATAAAATCATGAGAGGTATGTAGAAGGTGTCAAGTACTCTGTTGCTCCCACTCAGCTATTTTTGACAGAGATATGTGGAATTGATACAAGAAGGTGATAGCTGGGGGGGAGGAGGGGGGGGAAGGGGAGGGGGAATGTGGTTCTTCAAACTGTGTAAGTTTTGGAGATGCATGGGGATGTTTAAGGCTTATTTGTGCTATGAGGAAGACTGAATGTCTGTGGAAGAGAATTCCACTGAAGTTTGCATATACATAAATTTGTGTTTTGAACCACAAATCACTGAACTGTAAATTTCTGGAGAATTGAAAACTCTTCTTAAGAAGTTTACGTGCATGTTGGCTCTATTATTTTGCTGTTCAGTAGGTATAATTTGTTATTTTTTGTTCTCTGAGATGGGATATCAGGATGGGTGGACCTTAGTATTGACACCTTAGAGCCTCTGTTTTCCCATGTTGAGATCATTCTTCTGTTTGTTGAATGGGGAATCTTTATTTAGTTTGTCGTATTAACTTCAGGAAAACTTTGTGTTTTTCCTTAGACATAGGATTGCTGCTTGCTCATCACATTTCAGAAAGGCATAAATGGGCTGAACATAGATGATCTCTGATAATGATAGATTGAAGTGCCAGTTCAATACAGCTTCTGTAATTAGAAAAGCATGGGAAGGCTCTATAGAGTGAAGAAGAGGGATTCATCTGAAAGAATAATTCAGGCTGAAATAGATGTTTATTTCTTTATTGTGCCGAGTAATGCAAATACAGTAGAGAGTCTGATTACCGATGAATCTTAGTGAATTTTCCCCAGGATCTTGTGTGGTTTCTGTATTTTTTTTATATTAGATCGTTTGTGCCATGGTAAGCTGCAGAAATATCTGGCTATGATGTCATTACCTACAATAGCTAAAATATTACTGACATTTCAACTCTTCCCTTTTCCTCTGACTGCATTTCTCTCCTATGGCAACCATGAATCCTGAGACTTGTAACACTTTCCCTGCCCTCCTCACCCTTATTTCTTTTTAATAACTGTTTACTAGGAGGTGGTTTGACCTTTGGTAAATTTTTTAAGCTCGCATTTTCGGAAAAGACAGTGGAGGAGGTGCAACAGAGAAGGTGTTTGTGGCAGGGTCAAAATAAGAAACTTAGAATTGAACGTGAAAATATCTGGTTCATGCCTGGTCTCTGCTTTGCTTGTGTGTGTCTGTGTGTGTTTGGGATGGGGAGCAGGGATAAAAACAGGAGAAATGTGTTCGTATACTTTAAATACTATTTCATACATGGTTTTAAATAAAGCATACTTCTTCCCTTTCCAGCGTGTGGAGTTCTTCAGAAACGTTATTTAATTGCAGCTCAACTGACATTAATGTTTCTTGCAAGCTATGTTTCTGATTTGTTTGTGCCACATAGGAGCTTTTATTATTTATATTTTATGCACTGTTTCATGCTATGCTGTTCTGGAGCCCCCAGACGATAATAAAGCATCAGCAGGGGTTAATGGAGACTGGCAGGGGGTACAGCAGGGAGCTTTTGTTCCCATTTTATCTGGCAGCCTGCAGCAGGCAGAAGCAGGCTGTGGCTCAACAGCTTCGTCATTTATCTCGGTCAGGTTTCACTGCTGATAAACTTCTATTGAAATGGATGGCTGCTATTGTGCTTACCAGTAGGGAAGATTTCTCATTGACTTGCCACAGGTTTAAAGCATTTTCCTGCCGTGCTATGAGGTTAAAAATGTATGATCTGCTCTGCTGAATTGGTCTTATGTTTCCTCCTCAAGTGAATATTTGTCTTCTGAGCACGTACGCTACCTGTTTTAAGGCATAGGTTGGATTTTAAATGGTCAGCAAATCTCGTATTGATAAAGCAATTATGAATGGATGTGTGTATGTGTGGCTGTGTGCATTAAGAGGAAATAATCATTATATGGCTGATTTCTCACAATTTTTCAGTCTGTGCTTCGTTTTTCTTTATTCATCTTTCCTCTTCTTCACGCTCAGAGGTAGAGATGACACCCGCTTACACCTACTAGTGGTGAGTTTAAAGAAAGGACTGCCTCCTATACAATGTAACCATTCTCCAGTGATTTTTGAGTGCAGCTCTAACTTGAAGTGTTTCTGCATTCCTAAATTTATTAGCCGTGCCTCGCATTACTGTGTCTAATCCTCATGATTAATATAGAAAATCTTACATCCTGCTGTTTTTCAGCGTAAGTACACACAAGCTTTCAGAACGCCTCCTTGTCAGACAACAGAAAGCTGATGCCACTAAGACATTTTGAGTACAAAATTCTTGAACAGAGAAGACCTTTTTGTCTTTGACCCAGAAGCTAATAGCTTGGCATCTAGAGAATGCTCTAATTCACATTCTAATCCTGAAATTGCAGGGCTGCATTTTCCTCTGATGACAACTCCCTCAATTTTACTACCAGCCTAATAAGGAAATTTTGTTTTCTAAGCTCTTGCTGCTTATTTGGTGACTGCAAAGTTGTCATGTAGCATATTTTTATGTTGTGAAATGCTGATGTCTTGAAAGCCTGATCATTAATGATGTCCCCATCCACCACATTTTGAAACAGACATTGGAAAATGGAGAAACAGAAGCAGGTCTGTTTTTTAAAACAAGTGTTAAACACACCTGATTTTGTAAAATTGCATTACACTTTTCATAGGTATTAGAAGTAGGGTA